CACGCATAGAACTTTTTTTTTTTTTGATGTCACACGAAACACCTAAGTGTTAGTTTGGCCACTTTAAGAAGTGCGATTTATTAAAAAGTGTAATTTCATAATACAGCTCCAATATAAACAGCCCGCCGGAACAAAGCTTCAGGAGCCCCACCACACAACCCTTTGATCCCATCAAGAAGAAAGACAGCTAAAAATACGGCGGTCTGCACGTTGCGGTTCGCTTCCTCCGATATACTAGGGCAACATAAAAAAAAGAAAAAAAAACACAGGCAGCAGTATCACTCTTGTGATGAGAGTACTTCTGAAAGCCAACCAAGAGCTTAGCTATCACTGTACCTATACATGCGACTACATGTACCAGAGGTACGGGTACAGCGTGGCCTGTCTAAGTAAATTTTTTGCCGCCCACCCTCTCTTACAGAGAGCCATAAACAGGGCACGCATGCAAATACGTGACACCAACATGCCGCCAGGAAGCGATTTCAGGGAACAGGTCTCCTCGCGCAGAATAAAATTGAAGGGGAGGGGGGAGAGGGTAAGAAAAGTTTCTGTCAAGCCCTTCTTCTGAAGAAAATTCAGAAAAATAAAAGAGAACGAGACTTAAGTTATAACACAAAGGAATGAGGCCAGGAGATAAATAAAAGAGTACCAAGAATCTGTTTATAAAAGTAGTTATATGTCAGTAACTAAAACGCTTCGTGTTCTTATTTTGTTGTTCTTTTTTCAAACAATAAAAACAATGTGGTTATATCATAACACGTTATAAGTTCAGAAGCACACAAATTACAGCACAGTGCTGAGTGGTTATTCCGATAAACAAAGAATATAAAAACTTACCACGGTTAAAAGTGGTAAACAAAATGAAACCAAAAAATACCACCAGCATAGCGAGTACAACAGCCTCGTAATTACTGGTATAAATAAAAGTTTGGCCTGTTCCAATATGCGGAAGATCGTGGAACTAAAAAAAAAACAAACAAAAATAACAGCTCACTCCTATCTCACAGTTGAGCGAAATAAAAGTTATTAGTAATATATAAATATATATTTGATACTAACCCTACTTTCCGGTTATCGGGTATTGGAATTCTGCATATTACGTAACGAGCGTTTATTTTTTATTTATTTTTTGCGGATAAAAATAAACCCGCGTTCAAGTTGATAATACCCATCAGTAACAGTTTGTTGTACTTTATCGGTACGAGTAGCATATGACCCAAATATTTAACTTGAAACAACCTATGAATATATATCCCCTCCTTCAAGTACGGAGAAAAACGAAACTTTTTTTTTTTTTTACAAATTCATGTGACGTAATAAAAAAACTTGATTTTAAACACGAGCTTTTAAAATCTGATTTTAACCCCTTCCTATGAAAATACCTTCTGGAAGGGGGAGGGGGCACAATGGGATTTTGTCCCCTGGTAGCACTGATGCCCCTAGGTTGTTTGAAATTAGATATTTTGGCAGTAGTGTATACAAGTACGTGTCCCACAATAAATGACCGGAGTTACCGCTAATAAGGATTCTGGACGGAGATACATACAGTCCAGTAACACAAATATATTCTTATTCTTCTCTTTTTTTCTCTACTATTCCATCAACACTTTTGTCTTTTATACGAATTTCCAAAACAAGTACTTTGAAAAAAAAAAATGCAGTGGTTAGGGCGCTCGACTCGCAATCTGTGGGTCGCGGGTTCGAATCTCTGTCACACCAAACACGCTCGCCCTTTCAGCCGTGGGGGCGTTATAATGTGCGGTCAATCCCACTATTCGTTGGTAAAAGAGTAGCCCAATAGTTGGCGGTAGGTGGTGATGACTTTCCTCTAGTCTTACACTGCTAAATTAGAGACGACTAGCGCAGATAGCCCTCGTGTAGCTTTGCGCGAAATTCAAAACAAACAAGCCTCCCGATAAAAACAAATTCGTGAATCATGCATAATGAACCAGTACAATTTGTAGGTGGCGTGTTTCTTAACATATGTAAACGTGACAACCAAAAATCTCTTTCCTTAGCGCGAGAATCCCCTTAACTGAAGTTTCGCCTAACGTTTCATCTAAAAATTAAATAATCACACACACACACACAAACAACATTTGAACTTGAAAAACAACAACTAACAATTGAACGTTTTATTTTCTTTGACAAAAATTTGTGATATTATAAACTTTAGTCAGTTTATTATATAGAAGTGGCTTACAACGCTAGAAACTGGGTTTCGATACTCGTGGCGGGCAGAACACGGGTAGCCCATTGTGTAGCTTTGTGCTTAACTTGAAACAAACCAAACTTAAATCATTTCTTGACCGCTTAC